ACCATACAATTGAGCATGATTTTGTTGAGCAGGATGAGCATGTGAGTCATGAAGCCTAGATTTAATAGTTTATTTTATGGGGTTGCTCTTAGAGGTTGTCAAAACCGGGATCGAGTTTTTTGTTATGTTGAGTTTTATCATAAACATAATTTAATCACAAATTTTGTGTTGGTTTACATAAGAATTTATGAAGTTTCTTGTATAAAAAGTTGATTAATGCCTAAAGTGTTACCTTTATTTTAGAACTTATATTACTTGTATAAAAGTTTTTTTTTTCAATAAAGTTACAAAGAGTGAATCCTTTTACCGTGAGAAAAAGTTTAATCATATTTATTTGTCATATTTTTTTATCATACAAGTTAAATATATTTGGGGTAAATTAATGTCACATTTTGTGATATCAAATCATGTCGATTCATCCAACCACTGTGCTGTGTGTTTACTATGTTTCTTTGTGAACTACGTGCATTTGTTCCTTTATTTGTTTGCTTACTTCTTGCTTGTGTAAGAAGTGGTAGTGTTGAAGCCTTATAGTCGAATGACTTGATCCAAGGTATGTGTCTCATTAGTGGGTCTCCTTTAGTTATTGTTTATGATTCCAATACATCTCGTTCTTTCATATCAAATGCCTAAGTGACATAACAAAAATTGTTTGTGCCTACTTTAAAGTTTGAACTTGTTGTGGAAACGTGAGCTAGTGGGCTAGTTTCTACTTCTAATGTCTGTTTGAAGCATCCTTTAAAAATTGTTGATAGAAACTTTTAAGTTGACATGATTTGTTTGCCTCTTAGTCAACTAGATGTTATTTTAGATATGGGTGGGTTATCTTCCAACCATGTTTTGCTAAAATTTGCTCATAAAATTCTTGCTTTTGGTGAGTTTCTCGAGGGTACGTGTAAGGATTTTTTGACTTCCAACCAAGTTAAGGCATCTTTGAGAGAGAATGCTCAAGTGTACATGATGCTAGATTCTTTGAAATTTGAAGCAATGCAATGGTGAGTAAAGTACCTATAATGTGTGAGTTCCCTGAAGTTTTTCTTGAAGATATGACTAGTTCTCCACCTAGGTGTGAGATAGAGTTCTCAATAAACTTAGCACCTAAAATTGAACTTGTATCAATAGCACCATATAAGATGTGTTCTTTAAAGTTGGTTGAGTTTAAGAAACAATTAGACAAATAATTTTCCTTGGAAGCTCCCTATTTAAAAAACATGTTTTTCAACCTACAGTACATAATCATGCTTAATTTTCCTCTCACCATGACGTAAATTAAGCATATTTGTGCATCAAAAAGGCACACATTTTCTCCCTCTTCCAATTTGAATTAGCCGTTGTGGTATTCATAAGAATTGTTTCCCTGGATAATGTATATATCTAATGACTTTATAATCATATAAACCCAATAAATGTAACTCAAGATATGGTCAAAATAGTGAGTAAAGGTTAATTTGCAAAGTTTAAGTAACAATTTCACATTCTTTATAATTTTAGGCATAGTATACGATCTAAATAGATTTTGTAGTCAACATAGAAATTTATAGATAATTTTATTATATTTTTTATGAGATAAATATCATATTTTTAGGTCTAGTATAACTTTGGATATCATACTTATACTTTATGGGATCATGGACAAATAATATGAAATAAAGGAGATAATACCCTAAAACTTAGAAAACGAATATATAGGTCTTATATATCAAATGGATGGTTGTCATAATAGGAAAATGATATAGAATTATAATGGATTGATTAGTGTGTGACGTGGTTGAATGTGTATAAAAGTGTTTGCGAATGAATTATTCTTGAGAATGTTTGTTCCTATTAACTATGAAAATGACTTTCATATATTATGCTATGAGATATATGATGTGTTTAACATGTTTCCTATGTCATAAGATGTGTGTTATGACTTGATATCATTGGGACATATGACCTTATTTGTGAGAGGCGAAGATAGTGCTCAGGTGAAATTTTGTTCATAAGTGACCTAGCTTGTGAGAGTTGATATGCTATGAGATGTGAGGTAACTTGATATTATTAAGATTGGTGACCTAGTTTGTGAGAGACTATGATGGTGCTTAGGTGATATCTTGTATATGAGTGACCTAGATTGTGAGAGGCGAAGATGGTCCTTATTTGAATTGTGAGAGTTGATATGCTATGAGATGTGAGGTAACTTGATATTATTAAGATTGGTGACCTAGTTTGTGAGAGACTATGATGGTGCTTAGGTGATATCTTGTATATGAGTGACCTAGATTGTGAGAGGCGAAGATGGTCCTTATTTGAATGTATAAAAGAATTATGTGAGATATATATATGCATTGACTTGATTGAACATGTATCATGGCATTGAGTTTGTCGTGTTGGAGGAAAGTATTTTGGGAATCTGGATGGTGGAGACCTTGAGGGGTTGTCATCCCAACCTTGGTGGTTGTTTCATGTGGAAATTCCATGACTCAAGTTCATCTAATGATGTTAAGGCGTACTTTGAAAGCTTTACAACTCTAACTAGTCACTAGAGGATATTATTTTGGTTGAGTGTGCCTAGTTGAAGGCAACGAGTGAGATGTTGCACTTCTTTTACCATAATCATGTGTTTCTGGGCTACTTTCTTGAACATAAGATTAGTATCATGTGCGCATAGAGTATAAGTTTAGAAGCATGAAAAACATACACATCTTGATATATTTTTTACTCATTGGGTGATGTTATATTGTTATTATGTGAGTTGTGTGTTCGAATTATGATTATTGTTATATGATATAAGTGTCAAAAATATGATTGTGACTTGAAATATAGGTTATGTGCTATGTTTGTATGTAGGTTCCCTTGTGACTAGATAAATAAGGTGTATGCCTAGTTATTAAGGTAGGTATATATAAAAGAATATTATTTGCCAATGTAATAGAAATTTTATTTTAGTTAGAGGAATAGAATAACACATGTAAAGGTGATTGGATAAGAGTAATAATAGTTTTAGGCTTGACCATAATGGACAACTCTAGGTAACAAAGTAAGAAAGGTAGATTCTAAACAAGAATGTTTGGTTAGTTAGAGGAAGTTATGACTAAATGGTGTTGATAAAGATAAAATTCCAAAATAATAGTGAGTGTAGACCAATGTAATAATTGTGAGAATGAGGGAGTAATTGATGGAAATTATTAACAATTGGAAGCCGTAAATTTGACCGTAGTATTAGAGTTTCAAGGCATATTCTTTTTATGAAAAAATTTCTATAATCCTTAGTGATTAGGCAAAAGAAGCCAATGCCTCTCCAATGTTGAAGCTTGGGTGGTACACTCAAAAGAGTGAATAAAATTTTCTTGAAAGTGTTGATGTTGAGATTCAAGCACATGACATAACTATAAAAGTGCAATTACCTTACAACTAAACCAAATAATTTCTTGTTATTATATTTGTTAACAAATAATTAATATATATATATATATATATATATATAAATGTACAAAATTTATGTCAAGTAAACCAGCATAACCTTGAGCAGTTCTCCCTGTGGCCGAGATTGTTGATCTAAGTATTCACGTTTTAGTCGAACCTGGTAGTAATTAAACTCAATGAGTGCATTTTTATAACAT